CGACATTGAAAAAAAGTTTAGGCATTTGCTGGATGATACCACAAAAACGGAGATCAACGCCACACATAAGTTCATCAACTGAAAAGCGCTACGAATGGTCCTCGTTCAAGAAAGTTTCAGGCAAGTCATTTTTGTCCACAGATTTACAGTACGCAAAGAAAGTGCTATTTTTGGTTTTAAATTTTTTATAAACTATATATTAAGGTTAAGTATAATTTTTGTGATATTTCCGTAAATTAGTAGAAAATTGGGTTATAAATTGGGTTTACATTAATTGCTCCTTTCGTGGTTCTTCTCATTATCCGACATTGCTTCGATCTAGCCTAGTTTAGGTCCAGTAATCAATATTTGAACGTAGTTAAGGGAGGTCCATCGCTCCAGCTTAGCGACTGAAGGAAATGTGAATTCGAAATTGAGCGATTTTAAACTCGTATGAATAGAGAAAATTGCTCTTGTTCGGGTAGGCGGTATAGCTTGATGATACCTGCTTGTAAATGCTTTAAGACATTCATTGTGGAAGCAGTTAATGCTTGAAAGTATTGCGGTCAATCATTTATTGCACATGGTCAGTCGTTAAATTTGAGGAAAGTTTCTGAACTCTAAAGTTTACCGCATCCCCAGGTGACAGTCACACGCAAGAACAACTCGTATATTTGCTCGTGTAAAGAAAGTCTAATTTCAAGGGAACGAAGCGTTCTACAGATGACCCTCAGAGAGGAGTGTGTCGAAATGGATGTGACATCCATTGCGAAAAATAGATTCTTACCACCCAGGTTGTCCACATTATGAGTGATGAGCATAGTAAAAATGAATCTATTTTATTAAAAAGAGATTTTGGATTAGGAAAAGAAACAGATTTACATGTATGGCACTTTTTCGAAGAGGTCACCGCTTTGATTTACCGATTTACCTGTACCCTTCTAAATTAATGGTCGAAAGATGAAATTACGATTCAAATAGCAGCAATAAAAGGTTTCTCGTACATATGCTAGCCGCTATATGAAAGACAGAAGATCGGTCTGATGGTGATGTGGCGAATTCGGTAGACAGTTATCCTCTCCATCGATTCTGTTTTATGGACATGTGAGTTGGACCCTAAGAATGTGAGAACTGAGGAAACTAGAGTCCCTCGATCTGTGGTGTTCAACAGTCATCTAGTGGAGACGATTTATCGACTTTAGATGCACAGCAGCAATGCGTTCCCGTCGCAGCTCTCTCTACTATCCTGAACTTCCACCAGACGGTATGACCTTCATGACGCTGCGCGCAATTTAGATCCCCTAGGGGCGCGTGAAAAGAACAGGATAACTTGAGACATGATCTGTATTATCGTAGCTGACGTTGAGGAGCTTTATGGGCAACGATAAAAGGCAAAGACTGACTGAACTTGATGGCATCGTTGGCATTGCGCGTTGTCGATACTGGTAGAAGACTGACATGTTGGGCAGAGAATTTGGACATCATTTGAACCTGTTGAACTAGTGACAATGACGTCCGTAATCACAGCAACATTCATATTATTAATCATAGAGGTGGACCAGCAAATACAACAACATTAGAAAGTTTTGTTGGAGTTTACCTTCGCATTTTGTCGTTGAAGGGCAACCACAGCCACTGTTTTGGAGCAGCTTTGTAACATGCATCGTATGACGGTTCGTCTTCGTCTTGATTGACGACCAGTACGAGCAGCCTGCGATCTTTCTTCACCTTACTGCAATTCTTCTAGAAATAACTGAGGTAGAAATTCGAGGCGTCTGGCTTGGCGATCGTTTAAAATTTGGTAATCGTTTACCCGTTTATGAAACGTGTGCCGTTTTAACGGATTGCTTTCGTCAAGCATCGTTATGAAACTCTTATGTTAATCAGAGGTAAGAAACTACACCCTTTACTAGAACTGATGACGTCATCAAGAATTAATAAGTAAGAAACTACATCATTATGACAATGTGGAAATAATAAAATTAATTATATGGCTTAGATGAAGCGACGACAATTTTCAACGACGTCATCTTAATTGTGTTGCTACAATTGCGGCAGGCAGCGCAGCGAAGTAAATTATCAGCGAGGTATGGAACACCCGAATGTTCGCTCGTTTCCACTAGCTCGTCTTTTACGAGAATGTGTGAATTTTAAGTTTATGCACAAGATATAGGATTGAATGTGCAAATCTCGCAATGTCCTGGTCCCTCTGCTTTGTGCAATCGGTACGATTCTACCGGACCAGTTTCGATTTCGTGGCCGTAAGCATGCATAAAAAATGATAGTGCGTTAACAGATTATTAACTGCGCGGAATCAAATTTTTTTCACAAAAAATAAGGGTTTACACGGCCTTAAGTTCGCTAAGAACAAACTTACTAAACATCGTAGATGCATGTCATAACACAGATAAAACTGGTAACGGATAAGCGATGAGGTTATTTAGCAGAAATACTGTAGCGATCACTTCACAACTTCATGAACGAGTTTTGCGCGGTTTTCCGAAACTTCTTTCGGACTATAGGAGTTACGTGCTAGATCATATGATATTTTACAAACACATGTTAAATATGATATGTTGGAAGATGATGAGGTGCAAGTCTTTGACTCAGACAGTACTATACTTTATTAATGATAATAATTGCTCCTGTGGCATGGTTAAACATACCTTCAAAATCTTTGTGAAATTTTGGCACACGTGGCACCAACTTGCCTGAAAATAGAGCGCGATGGTCTTATCGGCCAAGAATTCTTTGGTCAGTACTTCGGTTTGATTGGCCCCTCCTCTGCTGAGGCGTCGTACCACCTCGTGGTTCATCGGAAACGACTTCGATTGTTCTTCTTGTTGCAGACACGACCACATTTACATGCAAGACTTTTCAAACACTAGTTGTCAATCGGTGCTGACCACAGCTGCTCTGTAGGCGGGACTCGACTAGTAGCACTAATAGCGTCGATGACGTTCGTCCATCCTTCACGTTAACTGACCAATGGCAATGACTAGTGGTTGTTGTGGTACGTTTCGGTTTTTGCGCGATTGATTTAATTTGCCCAGTAATAGACCTTCGCAGCCATCATTACCGTTCAAGAAGGATGATCAGTTGAGAAAATGCATAGCCTCTTTGTCAGTTAAACACTTTCTTGCGTATGCTGCATGTGACGGTGATCATGCGTCATGGAGTCATGGTTACTATCTTTAGGACAATGAGGGCATCAGTGTACAGAATAATGGGCGACGTTGCTTCACTGAATGTTTATCCTCTTATGCGTACCGTATGTTTCAGGCAATTAAGACATTCGGGTTTTTCTCTCTCTAATTTCTGGCAACATGTACAAAGTTTGTTTGGCGGCATTCTGAATAACCATAGTCTTATGTTCAGAGTCTACCGGGGTTGCTTACTCAGTTGAACGGACTTCTCAGAACTTAGAGATCCAGCTTTCGAGGCTTGCTTAGCGTTGCTCGTCTTTATTCTTTCCGAGGTTGATAAATGAGTACCATCTTCTCTAGGAAGCATAAAATGGGCTACACACTATGCTTACTGTATAACTGTGGTCGACCGTTCAGTTTATAGAAATAACGCCCTCCTGGCTGATAGCATAAAATTGGAAATCAGTTCTCCCGCGATAACTTCATGAAACTGAAGATGGTAGAAATGCTTCAACGGTGAAACTGTAAAGAAGACCGACATTCCGGTGGTTATACATTTTCTTGTTTCGTTTCGTTCCAACCAGAAAATCGATGATCAAAACATAATGTGAAATCTGACAAGGTATTTACGACTGATTTGTGCCTCCTTGGGCCCGAATTCTCTCCTTTTCCGAGGGTTTAGTCGAAATGTTCTTTACGAGCTCATCATAGGATCTGAACGATTAAGCTGGAAAGCTGCTAGAAGACAGCTGTATTTTTGCCGTACCGTTGTTTATTTCCGTTGTGTGGTGAAATGAAATGATGTATAATGTTCAACCGACCTCGCATTCAAACGAGTCCCGGAAATTTCTGGTGCACACATGCCGTGACCCTTTCCTGTAGGCTTCATTGCGAATAACATGTTTCACGGCAAATCGAAATCGTCGTTAACATCCTAAACTGGTTCATTGCAATAACTGTGATGTTCCGTAATATTCGGTGGCTTTCGTTGTGGTTGTTTATAGTTTTATTACATGTATAGTTGTAATTTAGTTTTGTTACTACCGATCACAAACGTATGCGCATTGGGGTAACGGCCAGAGCTTAAGCAGTCCGACAGTCGGCACCATCGCCTCGATCCTGTCGTTTCATTAGGTTGAGGTGTTCGGGAAGCAAACAGCAATTCGTTGGCAGCTCATCGAATAGTCGTTGAAAGTTTGCATCAGCTGTGCGTCACCATCGCCGGACATCGCTTCAGGACGCAGGGCAGCAGATTTACTTTGCTTCCATTACCCTTCAAAGGAGATATGTTCATTGCCGTTAGCGTTTTGATTCATCACTGTTACTCAAGGAAATCGCTGTGCAGTTTTAGTGATCACACTTCCGATTGATTGACAGCTGAAACTACCGTTGCATAGCAGGCCACAAGTCACCGTCGTTGTTCTGTTCTTCCTCGCAGCAGAATGATTCTGCCTAAGCGATGGTCATGAACTGTGCTTGTCACGAGGTATGAGGCACGAGATGAGGTATATGATAGTGTTGTAATGGCAACGAAGCTTTAACACGATGACCTCGAACTGCTGCAAATTGGCCGAACACGCAACGGTTCTTCAAACTTGTAGCAGTCATAATAATAGAGGTAGTCAGTAGGCTGGAGCTCGGTCGGTTGTGAAATTTGCCTTTTCGTTGCTCTTGCCTACAGCACGGTACTGTGTGTCGTGCGATTAAGTTTTTCATTCCCGCGAAAAACTCTCGATGACAGAAAATGCGTAAGCATCACTGACACATTAACAACAGCTGGCATTCCATTTTGTTATTCAGATGTTTCGGTAAGAATGCGTCGAAAACACCTTGTCGAGATACAAGCCGAAATCAGAGCCTGTTATTTCTATCATCACACTCTTTTCAATCGTAGACTGCTAATTATAAACATGGTCAAGTATGTAAATGTAATTTTATAATTTAATATTAAGACCTATGATGCGAAATCAAACAAGAAACTAACTTCCGTTGTCACATTCCGTTTACCAAATGACTGTCTATTCGCTGCATCACGTTTTTAGTACAAGTTACTATCTATTCTTTGACTTGACTTCGCTGCAATCAATGTAAAATATCGGAGAACCATTAACTGAAAAAAATCTCTCGTTTGATGTATTTTGTCACTTCGATGCGTATCGACCAGTTATTGTTGCTGACCTAAAGCTGTGTGTGAGTTTAAGGCACTAATGCGGTCGCTGGGACAAATATTTACAGTGACGAGAATAACCGAAAATTTACGGATCGATGATAAATTTTTGACGCGTCACTGTGATATCGACATCAGATTCTTCCAGAACATTCCATTCCGTTCCAATTTTCCAACTTGTATGTTTGTCACCGAATAAACATCATGAGTTGTTCGTACGCTCGGGCGTGTCAGTTATCGAACGACTTATCCAAGACCAGATTTCACAACGTATTGCACCTACAGGATATTTAAACAATAAACAAGCACCAACAGTACCAGATGCATTTTGCATAATTTTCTCCTCTAGAGCCCACTCCCAATCATCAAAAATCATAGTTTAGGAGATGGTGTTATTGGCATGCCAAAGTCCCCCTCTTCTCCCCGTTCCTCAGGCGCGAAACAAATGGTGCAATATGCCATTAATTCTGGCCTATGAACATTCATTCGATGTTCAACACACTTGGACGGCTTATGATACTTCTGAGGTAGCATCTAAGGAGTGCCAGCTCTGAAATATCGTTTCTATTGAGTGTGAGGCGATTGATGATAGTGTTGAAATACCAAAGAGCAGCGGACTGTTTGTAAATGACCTCCTAAGGGACTAGGAGGAAAGGAGCAATGCAATACGCCATGAGATTTGGTTTTGAAGAAATCATTGCTTGCGTGTTTGCCT